GAACTCGCTGACCATTCTACCATCACACATACGGAGTCACAACAAGTGAGAATGAACTCGCTGACCATTCTACCCTGACACATGTGGAGTCACAACAAATCAGAATGAACTCACTGACAACTATTTTATTGTGACGTTTGTGAAAGTTTCCAGAGCAAATTCATTTTCCACACAACAGTTCATATACATTTTGTTTCACGGCATTGATCGCAATCCCCGTAATGCATCAGTTCTCTTCCCACCTCCTCCCTGTGGTTATCTTTCCCTGTGTCCTTTTCCATGCATTCCTGTGCTCTGAGCTATCTCCTTGTGCAAGCTCTGCCCTTCTGCTCTACCATGGTTGATTGTTCTAAGGAGTGTGCCGACCTGGTGTAAATGTTCACCCTCTACACCTGTCTATTGTTTGGCTGGAAGCCACGAGACTGGGTTCAATTCCAGACCCAAAGGGTGACTAGCGGCCATAGTGCTGGGTTTCCCCAGTCTGTATCAGACCAGTAAGCCTGGCCTTTTCTATGATTTTGAGTTTTGTTCCACGTCGTTCTCCCACTTTGTCCAGATCTCTTCTTGGATCCCTTTCCGAGTGGTTGGCAGTGGTAGCTGGGCGCAGTCCGGTTCTGGCATCACAGCCACGCAGGCTGTGGCTCCATGGTCCACTGGCCCTTTGGACTAATTTTTCCCATGCATCGTTGTCTTCCCTCATCCTTCTTTGCTCCAGACGAGGACAGACCAACTGTTGTATCTTAGAAGGACACTTGCAAGCTTTTAAGGCCTCAGTCACTACGTGCCACAGTAGGATGTTTTTGTGTAGTATGTTATTTAACTGAGCTTGATGTCCCCTCAACCGTGGTCCCAAGTCCACAGGTCCAACAACTCACTCCCTCAAGATGGTTGGCTGTGTCTAAGAAGTTATCATAACTTTGTCCTCTGTTAGCTCTATTATATATGGACAGTCATATGGCACATACAAACACATATGTAGAAATACCATCTGCTAAACCTATATGTGGTCATGAGTATATGGCCTTTGCCTAGACATACCTGATCATTCAGCCTGTCTACCTATGTATCTACCTGTAGATTGATGTTTGTTATTCCTGATAATGTGGTTTTAACCCACAAAGTATTTTGACCCAAATTTCCCTGCCTCTCTGAGCACTAAAACAAACCAAACTGGTTGCCACTGAGTCAGTCCTGGATCCCGGTGACCCCCGGCGCCATAGTGGAAGTGTGGCTTTCCATAGCTGTGACCTTTCTGAAGCAGACAGGGCACTCTCCCCAGGCACCTCTGTCGGATGTCCTTGACGTTTAGAGTGCTCCTGCCCACCCAACAAGAAGAAATGGGGGTGGGGGGGTGAATGGCAAAGAAAACTCAATGACTAAGTTTTCAGTCTCTTTTTGCAATAAGTAAACTATTTTTCCTTCATGCAAATGATCTATGAGATGACTGACTTGAAAGATTGTGTTAACATATATGCTGAGTCCAAGGATTAACTGGGCTCAATGGATGTGATCTTGGCCTTCATTATCTTACACCGTGAACAGAAACCTTTCATCAAAGCTATGCGTACATTGCTGTCAGTAGATTTCTCAGGAAGAGTAAGACGCTTGTGTTGAGGCAAGACCTACAGGATAATTTGACTTTGTCAAGGAGGCTGCGGAAGGTTCCCACAAAGTGTTTGCTGTGGGGGAGCAGAGGAGAAGGAAAGAAGCTAAGGGGATAGTTGGGCTTTCATGGAAGCAAATGGGAGAAGGTGTATGTTTGATGTCGTTGGGTGCCATCGAGTCAGCTCTGCCTCATAGCAACTCTATGGACAACAGAATGAAACCCTGCCCGGTGCTGTGCCAGCCTCACGATCCCTGCTACTCCTGAGCCCATCATTGCAGCCTCTGTGTCAAACCATCTCGTTGAGGATCTTCCCCTTTCCTGACGACCCTCCACTTTACAGAACAGGTTTCTGTTCACCGTGTAAGATAATGAAGGCCAAAATCATATCCATTGAGCCCAGTTAATCCTTGGACTCAGCATATATGTTAACACAATCTTTCAAGTCAGTCATCTCATAGATCATTTGCATGAAGGAAAAATATTTTACTTATTGCAAAAAGAGACTGAAAACTTAGTCATTGAGTTTTCTTTGCCATTCACCCCCCCAACCCCAATTCCTTCTCCAGGGAATGGTCCCCTCTGACAACATGACCAAAGTAGGGGAGACGAAGTCTGGCCATTGTTGCATCTAAGGAGCATTCTGGCTGCACTTCTTCCAAGACAGATTTGTTAGTTCTTCTGGAAGTCCCTGGTACTCTTAGCATTCTTCACCAACAGCACAACTCAAAAGCATCAATTCTTCTTCAATCTTCCTTATTCATTGTCCACCTCTCACATGCATATGAGGCGATAGAGAAGACCATGGTGTGGGTTAGGTGCACCTTAGTCTTCGAAGAGACATCTTTGCTCTTCAGCACTTGAAAGAGGTCTTTTGCAGCGGATTTGTCCAGTACATTACAGAGTCTGATTTCTTAACTGCTGCTTCCATGGGTGTTGGTTGTGGATCCGCATAAAATGGACTCTTTGACAGCTTCAATCTTTTCTCCATTTATCATGATGTTTATTGGTCCATTTGTGAGGAATGACATTGGTCAATAATTTCCACATACCTTTCTTTGGAATGGGCACAAATATGGATCTCTTCCAGTCGGTTGGCCAGGTAGCTGTCTTCCAAATCTCTTGGCATAACCGAGTGGGTGCCTCCCCTGCGGCATCCATTTGTTGAAACATCTCAGTGGGAGTTCCGTCGGTTCCTGGAGCCTTGTTCTTCGCCACTTCCCTCAGTGCAGCTTTGCCTCCTTCCTTCAGTACCACTGGTTCTTGATTATATGCCACCTCCTGAAACAGATGAATCTCAATCTATTCTTTTTGGTACAGTGACTCTGTATTTCTTCCATCTTCTTTTGATGCTTCAACAGAAGATGGTGTATAGTATGTGTATTGCTGAGTTACCATTTTTCTCTCCACAGTGGAGATGACATTGGATGCTGACACAGCCCACAATCTCCTCATCATTTCCGAGGACCTGAGGAGCGTCCGATGTGGGTCAGTCAAGCAGAAGCTGAAAGAACATGTGGAGAGGTTCAGTCAGTCCATCTGTGTCCTGGGCTCCTCTCGGTTCACCTCTGGCCGCCACTACTGGGAGGTGGATGTGGGAACTAGCCAAGAATGGGATCTGGGCATTTGCAGAGAATCCATTAACCGACAAGAGAAGGTCGTCATGTCTACAGACCGTGGGTTCTGGATTCTGAGTTGGAGGGAGGGCTGGTACTTCTCATCCAGTACCACAATTCCAATAGCCGTCTTGGTGAGCCTCCCATTACGCCGAGTGGGCGTTTTCCTGGATTTGCACATTGGAAACCTTTCCTTTTGTAACATCGGTGATGGATCCCATATCTTCACATTCACCAAGATTTCTGCTTCCGAGCCCCTCCGCCCTTTCTTTTCTCCCTCGATTCCAAGGCCTGGTGATCACAGCTCCCTGAGTATCTGTCCTGTGATGGTTCCAAGCATCCCATCGGAACCCAAGACAGACCAATGCACCAGGTCGACAAAAAGCAATGGTTGAGCAGACTTTGTGTCTACAGCTTTGATCTTTCCTACTTGGTATACATCGGGCAATGTAACAGAATACACATAAGCAACATTTTATAAATTGTGAACACAAATTAATTTGAGTAATGAGAAAATAAATGGAGTTTGGATATTCAGTATGTCATGGTTTTCTGTTTCTCTTTCTGTTCCTGTAACTATATGGAGGTTCTTGAGGGGGAGTGCTGGTGGCATAATGCCTAAGGCATCTGACTGCTAACCAGAAGGCTGGCGGTTCTTGAGTGGGCCCAATGGTTTGTACTCGACCACTCCTTAAAGGTTGGTGGTTTAAGCCCACCCAGCGGTGCTGCGGAAGAAAGCTACAGTAATCTGCTTTCATAAAGATTACAGCCAAGACAACCGTGTGGAGCCCAGTTCCATTTGAGGTATCAGCCCTCAAACTTAACATATACTTTCACACAGAACTTTCAAATCACAGTCATGTTGTAGATGAGTTGATCCGTACAGCACATGGGTTCCCCACGAGCCAAGAACGGCCCCAACAGCAATGGGCTGGGTTTGATTTGTATGTTGTAAGGGCCCCGATTAAACTTCATTTTTTCTCTTTTTATTTCTGTAGGATTGTGGAAGGCCAAAGAGGCCCCTTGCTGAAAATTGCAGAACTTTAACAAACTCAAAGGGGAGCTCTGGTAGCGTAGTGCCTACGGCACTTGACTGCTAACCAGAAGGCTGGCGGTTCAAACCCACCAGCCACTCCTCAGAAGGAAGATGGGGCAATCTACTTCCGTAGTGATACTGCCTCGGAAACCCAAGGAGGGGTCTCTATGAGTCAGGTCTGACTCAACAGCACATAACAACAACAACAACAACAAACTAAAAAATAACTGCTACTGAGTTGATTCCAACTCATAGCGACCCCAGTGGGTTTCTGAGGTGGTAGGTCTTTACGGAAGTAGATTGCGAGGTCTTCCTTCCGTGGAGTGGTTGGTGGGTTTGAACTGCCAACCTTCTGGTTAGTGGTCAGATGTCCAGCTGCCATGATCAAAGCAGACATTGATTATAATGTGACCAGCTCACTATGTTCCCTCCTTCTCCTTTTAAATAAATTGGCCAGCTGACCTCTTTACGGATGATGATTTTTTTAGATTGTTTTTTTGCTTAGATATTCTTTTGACTGACCTTATCCCACGGCCGGTTTCAGCTGAAAATCGCAGTTTCTAGGGCAAGATGACCCTGAGAAGGTGGGAGGGGAGGAGCGGGGACACTTCAAAAATAAAAAAATAATTTAAAAAAAAAAACAATGAATGATAATATTAACCAAAAAAAGAGACGACCCTGAGAAGAGAAACATCAAGTCTGGAACAACTGAGATAAAGAGGAACAAAGCCATTCCTGGCCGTCCAAGGGCTCTTTGACCCCCTTCCATCATCTCCCTATTGAATCAGATTGACTCCTTCGTTCGGGAGACAGACTTTTTCGAGAAGGGATTCTCTCTGTTTCCTCAATGAATCTTTTGCTTTCCTGTTTCAGCCTGTGGTGGTGATGGGCTCTACACACCACAAGTGGTAAGAACTCCGTTGCTCCTACATCAGGATCCACTTAGCTTATGGAGATTACAAATTAAATAACCATTTGCATATGACCAAATACTTTATGTGATTTTCAAAGTGATACACAAATCATACCTTCTATGCACACTAAGGGAGCTCTGGTGGCATAGTGCCTAAGACATTTGACTGATAACCAGAAGGCTGGCGGTTCAAATCTACCAGCCACTCCTCAGAAGGAAGGTTGGGCAATCTACTTCCGTAGTGATACCACCTGGGAAACCCAAGGAGGGGTTGCTATGAGTCAGAACCAACTCAACAGCAGTGAGTGTGTGTGTGTGTGTGTGCTTACTAAAGAGCTCTGGTGGCACAATGCCTAAGGCATTTGACTGCTAACCAGAAGGTTGGCAGTTCGAACTCACCAGCCACTCCACAGAAAGAAGACGGGGCAATCTACTTCTGTAAAGATTTACCACCTTGGAAACCCAAGGGGGTACTATGAGTCAGAATTAACTCCATGGCAGTGGGTTTGGTTTTTGGGATGCACAGTAAAAGGATCTCTGGTGGCATAGTGGGTAAGACATTTGGCTGCTAACCACAAGGTCAGAGGTTCAAACCCACCAGCTGGTCTGCAGAGGAAGATGAGGCAATCTACTTCCATAAGGATTTACAGCCTTGGGAACTCAGTGGGGGTCACTATGAGTTGGAACCTACTCTACAGCAGTAGATTGGGGTTTTGTTCTTTGATGCACAGTAAAAATGCATGTGTTTAACAATGGAGAAATGTATAAATGCCCAAGTCAGTCCAGTGTCCAGTGTTGGAAAGAGAACCTTCACCATCACTATGTGGAGTATCTACCGCTTCTTGGACCTGCCCTCATGGAAGACGACCGCAGCACTTCACAAGCTGTCGGCTCTCAGGTTCTGATGTCACCCTTCCATAAAATCCAAGCAGCCCATCATTGCAGCCACTGTACCAGGCCACTTCACTGAGGGTCTTCCTCACCTTTGAAGTCTCTCTACTTGAAAAGCATGATGGTCTTCTCCGGGGACTGGTCCCTGTGGTTCAGGGATCCAAAGTCTGAGAGACCAAGTCCTGCCATCCGTGGAGGCCTGAGGACCCTGACATGTCAGGTCAGCGGTGGTGAACTGGGGCCTGTGGAGCAATGGTGTCAAACTGGTCGGGAACAGAGCCCTGGGAAGCCTCTGCGCTCCCATGGAACTCCATGAGGAACTGGTCACAGTGCTTGTCACACAGGCCGGGACAATGTCCCTGGCAGTAACCACGACCGTCGCTCTAAGTCTGCAGTATAAACTCACAACCATGGCCTGCAAAGGCCAGTCGCGCAGACGTTGGGTTGCAGACCACAGCTCTTCTCTGTGGGGGCTCCAGGAGGGCTTGGAGTCAAGTTTCTGCCCTGCAGCCAGGACCCTAAGGTGAGAGATTGAGGTGGAAGGCTCAAGGGGCCTCTCAGTGAAAACTGTAGACCTTGAACGGACGGGCAGGCGTGAGTAAGGTGGACATTAATCCTAGCAACTCACTTACTAGTTTCCCTCCCTTTTGCTTTAAGTCCACAGAAGAGCCAACCTCTTTACGGATGCTGAGTTCTTCAGGTTCGTTACTTTCAACTATGTATTCTTCTTACCATGACCCTCTCCCATGACTGGTGGCAGCTGAGAACTGTAGCCCATGAAGCAAGACAATTCTGGGAAGACGGGTGCTGAGTCCGGAGTAACCAGGGACAAGAAACACAGGCGTCCCTGGCCATCGCAGGATCGTCAACTTCCCTCCCGTCTCCCTATAGAATCACATTGACCCCTTTGCTCGGGAGACAGACATTTTAGAGACGGGATTCTCACTGTCTCCTTGGGTATCGACACTCAACAAACCTTATGCTTTCTCACGTCAACCTGTTTTGATCAGGGGCCCTTTGTGCCAGGGGGCCAGGACCGTGTTGTCCTACAACGCGCCAGCTTACACTTACTGTGCCGCACCTCCCGCATCGAATGAGACGGGGCCACGGCCAAGTGGATGCGGAGAACCGTGAGCACTGGGCCACTGTGCAGCTCTTCCCCCCACCAGGGGAGCTCCCAGGCAGGGCCAGGGAGGTGGGCACTGGGGAGCCACCCCACCGGGGTCTCTCTGCGGCTCACAGGCCATGGCAGGAGGCCAGCCGGCTTCTACTTCCCCTTCTTGGAGTTGCACTTCCTGTTGACCCAGCTCTACCTGCCATGTTTTCCCTCCGGACAGTGATCCCATTTCCCAGCAGAGGAAGTGAGACTCAGAGACATGGGGCAGCCTTGGGGGTCCTGCGAGTGCCATCTACCCCCGGGCTGCCCTTTGCAGCATCTGCACTTCCAGTAGGCCGGGCAGTCCCCTGTGGTGTGGGGTGCAATGCCGTCTGTTTCTGCTGGTGTAAAGCACCTCCCCTGCCCAGCCGTCCACCTCCAGCCCTGCTGCTGCCCTCCCTGCCTGAGGTCGCCCCACTCCTCCTCACTCCTGCCGCAGCCTGGGGAGGACCCACCGCCTAGCGTTTCCTAGGCCTTAACCTCCACTTGCCTGGCCACCAGGCTCCTTTATAGTCTATGGAACTGGACAGAATGCCACCTTGTTGCCACTCACACATTAGATGAAACCATTGTAGGAACAACAAGGTCCTGACCATCACAAAGGGCCCATGGGAGACGGTCATGCTAAGAAGGGCCCACGTTCACAACAGGCTGAAGTGGGAAAGCAGCTTTATTGAGTGTTGAGACCCAAGGAGACAGAGAGTCCCTTCTGTAAAATGTGTGTCCCCTGAGCAAAGGGGCCAGCCTGGTCCCACAGGGAGACAGGAGGCGGGCTGACGACCCCTGGGATGGCCAGGAACGTCCTTGTTCTCTTCCCTAGTTACTCCAGACTCAAGACTCAGTGCGCCTCTTCCCAGGGTCGTCTTGCTTCACAGGCTACAGTTCTCGGCCGAAACCAACTGTGGGAGAGGGTCATGCTTGGAAGAATACGTAACTGAAAATAAGAAATATAAAGAACTCAGTGTCCATATACGTTGGCTCTTCTAGGACTTAAAAGAAAACAGAGGGAGGAAAATAGCGACTTAGTCACGAAGATTCATGCATGATGCCTGCCCATCCGTTGAAGTCCTGCAATTTTCCTTGAGGGACCCTTGGGCCTTCCACTTCGGCCTCCCACAAACCTTAATGTCAGGGACCTTTTTTTTTTTTTTTTTCCATCAGTCCATGTTAGGAATTCCCCGGAAGGAGATTATAAGAAAATTCATCCATTTTCACCCTGAACCAGATCGTTCCAAGATCAAAACTTTAAAACTGTGTCTTGTTAGATTGTAAATTGTGATGTAAGGGAAATAGGAAGGAGTCCTGGTGGCCCTGTGATTAAGTGCTTACCTGCCAAGCAAAGGTCGTCAGTCTGAACCACCACTCACTGCACAGGAGAGGGCTGGCAGACTGGTTCCTA